AACACACACACACAAGAAATTTCAATCCAGAGTAAAGTAAATAACAATCAATATAAATAGACCTGTAACTGACCTTAGCTTTTGAAACTAGCACGACTCAAGCCGTATTCATCACAATTTAGTTATAATGTACTAGGAGATTAAAGTTTCCGGGGGGTGAAAATAATAAGAAGGGGGGTGGGATTTATGACACAGCAGATAAAGCTGCGACCAAAGATACCGGTATCACATCTGAGCACCAGTCTGAGTCCCAGCAGATCCGTATTTTTGTCTATCACCCTGCTAATGCACCTGGGACAGCAGTGGAAAATGGCCCAAGTGTTTGGCCCCTGCACCCATGGGGAAGGTCTGGATGGAGGTCTGGATGCCTGCCTCCAGTCTGGCCCAGCCCTGGTAATTGGGCCCATGGGGAGGTGAACTAGTGGGTGTGATCTCTCTCTCCCTCTCTCTGTCTCACTTTGGCTGTCACTCTTTTGCCCTCTTTCTCTGTAACTTTGACTTTCAAATTAACACATCTTTTAAAATGTTTTAATAAGAACAGAAACCAAAAATTTCAAGAATGAAAAAAACAAAAACAAACAAGCAAGCAAACAAAACCCGAGAGGAACCATATGAAATAGATGTTTAGCCTAGTGGTTAAAATACCAGTTATGGCTACCATGTTCCACATCCGGTATCTAAATTTGATGGTTAGATTTGGATCTATGGCTTCCTGTTAATTCAGATTCCGGGCAACAATGACAGCTCAAGTAATTGCATTCCAGCCACCTGTAGGGGTACCTGAATCTGGCCATTGTTGTAATTTGGGAATAAACCAATGGGTAGGATATCTCTCTGCTTCTCAAACATATATGTGTTTTTATAAAACGTATATATGTGCATATATACATACATATGTCTTTAAAATGGAACTAATAATGGACTTAATGTACCTTGCAACCTAAAAGCCAATACAAATTAGCAAAAGACATGAACACTTTAAAATAGAAGATGGATGGATAATAAAAAGTTGGCAAGTTACTTTACATCATTAGTCATAGGGAAATATATATTCAATATGCCTTTGTTGCAATTAGAATTGCTAAAATTAAAAAAGCTAAAAACACCAAAAAGAAGAAGAAGAAGCTAGCAACACCAAGTTCAAAAGAAAATTTGAGCTCTGGTATATTGCTGAAGGTTTGTGCAACCTGGTATAATTACTTCAGAAAACGTATGTTAGTTCTTTATGAAATATAATGTAAATCTACCCAGAAAATTTCATTCAAAGCTGTTTGTCTAATGGGAATGAAAATGTAATGCTGGACCTGGCATGATAGCCCAGTGAATAAATCCTCACCTTGCATGCACTGGGATCCCATATATGTGCCGGTTCATAGCCCAGCTGTTCCACTTCCCATCAAACTCCTGTCTTGTGGCCTGGGAAAGCAGTAGAGGATAGCCCAAAGCCTTGGGACCCTGCATCTGTGTGGGAGACTCCTGACTTTGGATCAGCACAGCTTCGGCCTCTGTGATTACTTGGGGAGTGAATCAGCAGAAGGAAGACCTTTCTCTCTGTATCTCCTTCTCTCTGTTAATCTGATTTTCCAATAAAAATAAAATAAATCTTTTAAAAACATTTTTAGAAAGGAAAATATACTGCTTTGAATGAAATTGTATAAGAATACAGATTTATTCTGAAAAACTAAAAACAATAATCTTTTACGCATTTACAGATGCATAAAAAAACTTACAGTATATGTAACAATGGAGAGAGTATTCATTTAAGGATAAAATAGAGGGAAGTCTTAATATATTAACACAATGAAAATGTGAAAAGCATATTGAGAAGAAGGATATATGAAATTTGAATTCTACCACAAGTAAAACTGTGAAGACATAAATCTAAATATGGACTCCTTCAGGGTTGTTAAGAGGAGAAATTGAATGGAAAGGGCACCAGAGACATGTTTGGGCTAATGTAAATATTTTGTATTTTCTTTTTTTTTAAAGATTTATTTTTATTATTTTTTCATTGGAAAGGCGGATATACAGAGAGGAGAGACAGAGAGGAAGATCTTCCGTCCGATGATTCACTCCCCAAGTGAGCGCAACGGGCCGATACTATGCCGATCCGAAGCAAGGAGCCTCTTCCGGGTCTCCCACACGGGTGCAGGTTCCCAAAGCTTTGGGCCGTCCTCGACTGCTTTCCCAGGCCACAGGCAGGGAGCTGGAAGGGAAGCAGGGCTGCCGGGATTAGAACCGGCGCCCATATGGGATCCCGGGCGTGCAAGGCGAGGACCTTTAACCACTTGCGCCACCGCGCCGGGCCCAATATTTTGTATTTTCATAAGCATCATGATCACATGAGTGTGCACATTTATTAAAGCCTAACAAAAGTACACACTTAAAATCTGCAATCATATGCACATTGTCAATTATAAATATAATTATGAGAATTTGAAAACAATGTTTCAGTATTCCACATGTGAGAATTGAAGGAAGACTGATGGCATTCAAGTTCTGAAGGCAAAGAAATAATGGTTCAGGACATGGTTGCTGAACTGCACAAATACGGGGGCTTGGAATCACATTACAAATACCTTGTGTACGTAGGCAAATTGCTAAACTTTCCTAACCTCCTTTAGAATGGAGACGATAGTCTATCTACAAAGCAATTCTCAGGGTAATGCCTCACACATAGATACATTCAGTATGTTTAAATTGTAGCCATTATTATGAAAAATAGATTTTCATTGTCCTAATGCAGTTAGAAAAACTGGTGTAATCAGGAAAATTTTGACAATTACATCCCCACAAACTACATTAGGCTGTAACATAAATAATGCAGACAATATTTGACAGCAAACGATTAAGTTCACCAGCAAATCCTATTTTAGTTATCCATTTCAAAGTGCTTTCTTTGCCACCAAGAAAAATTATTTACTTTAAAATATTTTTGATGCTTTTATAAAGAAGGCATACAGTGGACACCTCCCTCTTGGGTTGCTATGCCCACTGGCGAGCATGAGAATCAGGACTGGGACAGGCATGGCTAGACAAAGAATGGCACTCACCGGCACATATGTGGGCTTTGATAGTGGGGCTGGTTGGATTGAGCTAGGCTTCAATGCCCATTGACACATATAAGAGCTGAATGGGATGTGGGATGGATGGAACCAACCTGCTGTACATACTGGTAGGAATGGGAACCAGTGCGAGGGGTGTGTCTGATAGGGAATTTTGTGGGTTGCTCTGATTGGGCTGCAGCTCCCATTAGTTCGTATGGGGGCTGAGTGTGTGGTGGGTAGGATCGGGCTGGGCTCCAACACACATTTGTTTGTGTAGAAGTCAGGGCTGGAGGCAAAACTACCGAGCAATTACAACTACCAGCATATGCATAAGCTGATTAGGGCCATGGACTGTGTCAGACCCTGTATTGGCAAACATATACAATAATCAGGTCTGGGATAATCTCAGATGAAGTCTCTTTGGGGATTCCCTCAACTGAATTGCTGGACTCAGAACCCCACCCATGAAGAGAGTTGCAGATTCCATGGTCTGACCGTGGAATGCTTGAGTCAGAAGTGGGCCTCCTCAGTGGCTCAGATGGAGCAGTGGGCAGCATATCCCGGTGCACATGGAGGATATGGTAGTACACTGGAGTCTGCAGAGGACACCTGGTATCACAACAGAGAACAGAACAAATTGATCAACTACCCTTGCTAAATGTTGGCAGTGAATATCTGGGCAAACAGAGACTCCAGGGTGGACTATGTCAGCCAGTGGATTCTGGGGAAATTTTGTCACGACTGGAGTGGCGAGACTGGCAGTAATTTAGAACTGTTGAACTATCAAAATCTCTTGAGCAGGACCCTCAGAGCATGCCCCAACATCAGAGACCCTGGGTGTGGTATCAGGTAACTGTCCTCCATTCCAGGGTGCAGAGGCATTTGGGAGGCTGAGTGTGGCTTCCCTGTCCCCCACCCCCATTCCCTCATATACAGGACGGGAAAAAAGAGAATGTGGAAATGGTGATCTCACCCACCTTCCTGTAGCCCTTGACCCTTATCACCCTAATCAGTTATCATCAAAAATAGATGTAATTAACAAAAAAAGATATACATTGTTTGTTGTTTCCTCATAGTCTCATCCTGCAATGAGTCTCATCCCACATAACAAAGATATATAGTTTTCCAGTATGAGTATGTGGATATGTTATAGATATATGTGTGTATGAATATGACTTTGTTGTGAAAAGTCCTATTTAATGGACCAGCTTAGGATGGTATATCAGACTATTGCTCTGCCTACGGCACCTACATTCCCATGTGGGTGCTGGTTCTAATCTTGGCTGCTCCACTTCCAATTCAGTTCTCTGCTAATGGCCCGAGAGCTCTGCCATTAGTGCCTCAGTATGGAACACAGACATTTTGCCCAAGATCTTAACCACCAGCCGAAATACCTGCTCTGTTGTTCTCTGGTTGAATTTTAAGTAAGGAAAAGAGTTACTGTAAACTTTACACAAATTTTCAGCATAACGTGTTTAAGTTAACTACCATGAAATTGTCTATAACACTGTATATGACACTAATATGCTGAATGTCTCCCTTGCACATAATTATGGAAATTCTACATACAGCTCTGCATTGCCTTTATTTTAAAAGCCACCTTTTTTTTTTCTGTTTTGTTTTGTAACCTGCAACCTTACTAAATTGGTTTACTAAATCTAACAACGTTTTGATGGAATGTTTAGGTTTTTCCATGTACAGCATTATATAGACACTGATTTTGCAAAGGAAAAGGGGCTTGAGGCATCACATGGTTTGTAAATTGGAGAGAGAAAGTGACAGAGAAAGAAGAGAGAGAGAGAGACAGAGAGAGAGAATCAGATATCATGAGTTTTATTCTACAGAGCTAAGGTTTTCAGTGCTTAACAAATTGAATTCCTTTTGTTTTCCTGTTTTGATTTTTGCATTTGTTTCCAAAGGGCCAGGTATAATCTAACTTTCTCTCTCTTACAGTGGATGGCTGCATCCATAGAGCGGCTGGCCCCTGTTTGCTAGCTGAGTGCCGAACCCTGAATGGTTGTGAGACGGGACATGCAAAAATCACATGCGGTTATGACCTGCCTGCCAAATGTGAGTGTAACTTTGGAACACGGTTTCAGAATCAGACGAGAAATCTTAACTTGTTTTTATTCCTCAAGTACATACAAAGGAAATGATAGTGATGACATTTAATTTAAATGAGCTTGCATATATAGCAATAAGATGTTTTCTAAATACACATGCATATGTATGTTGTTTAACTGCAGGTAATGTTTGTTCAGGTCTTGAACAAAGAATGCCTCTGAAACAGGGAAATAAAAATATGGGCAAAATATACATTAGGGTATTTAAGTGCTACGGAGTGACAAGCTTCTGGAAATGATGCCAATTTCTTATTTCTTGTTCAGATTTCTTGATTGTGGATGTGTGCAGAGCAAAGGAGATCAAAGTGATGTATGTGTTTGCAGCTGCCATGTAATGGCTGATTGGCAATTACAGCCAAGGCATCTGTCACGTTCTGCTTTCAGGAAAAACCAGTGGAATGTGGTTGTCAGTGTGAGAATGTATTTGCTCCTTGAATGCAAAATGGTCAAAATTTTCATTATATTGGAATAGAGAGAAGTATTGCATTTGATTGATCCGGTTGCTTAGTCATTTAGCCAACTGGGTGGAGTGACGTGAAGTAAAAACACTGAGAGAGAAGCTGGTTAAAAGCAGTTTTTGTTTCTTCTTCTTTCTTCCTTTTTTTCTCCCCTTCCCTCCTCTCCTCTCCTCCCTCGTCCCCTCCCCTCCCCTCCTCTCCCCCTCTCGTTCCTTCTTTCATTTGAGTCACATTGCCTTCTGGAGTTAGAGATGGAGATAGTGTTATATTACAACACTAAGGTGTTATACATTAAGGTAACATATAAGGTAACATATAAGGTAACATTGTGCATTGAAGCAACGACTTGTTTAGTGCGCTATTCAGTTCAACCTCTTACATTGCTTAAATCTGTGAATCATTTTTTGTGTAAAAGTGAGGCTGCCTTTTACAACAGAGTGTCTCTGAAACAGGAAACAATCTATAGGATGCTGTTTGGATTCTGTGTGGACGTAATTTCCCATGACTAAGTATAATTACAAAGCATATTACATTTTAAGGGTTATTCGTATTTAAACTTGGGGAATTACAAATAGCAAGATATTAAAATAATATTTGTCTTAATAAGCATAATAATAAATTATGTGTTGCTCATAGTGAGTTGGTATTGAGAATATATTATCTATAACTGCCTTTAATAGTTTCGTTTTCTTTTATTCGTGGTTAGTGTTTTATGCGAACAATCTCTTACTTGGAATATATAATGTTGAGTACTTTTTGTTTCTGTACAGTGGTTCAGTGTTTAGTAGTTTTGCCCTAATTCACAGAACTAGTGCTGTCAATATTGAAGATGGTTCCCCTCTTTATACTATATAGTATTGTATTTATAAATATTGGTCCATTTTTTTTTCTTTTTAACACCATGATACTTTTATTATATAGCTGACTCTGAGTACAAGTAAGTACTTACTGATTTTCAAATTTGCATTGTAATTTAATCAGTAGATGCAGCTCCCTGTTGCTTGACTGTTTTTCTCTGATTTCTCACAACACAGCTAAAAGCTTCTTCATTTCTGGGCATTTTGAAAGGATTTGAATGTAGAATCCCTAAATGTGATCAACTAAAATGGAGCACAATGTGCCTGCTTCCATTGGCATTCCTGTTGAACTTTCCTTCAATTTCATTCATTTATTTGAGAGTTATTGAACAATGTGCAGTACTAGGTGCTAAGGCCTAACGATCAATATGTCAATCTCGTACTTTGCAGAATTCACCTCATTGGATCGCATCTTTAAACTAAACCATAATTTTCATGGTGTTCCTGCTGCAAGTGTCTGGTAGACAGACCCAAGGTTCTAGGCATGGAAAGTCATTGCATAGGACTTGATAAAGAATCCACGTGACCTGCAGCCCACAGGTTATGTTTAGAAAAAAATAATGTGAAATAGAAATTAACAGACAGCTATGGCAGTGACACCTCATAAAAGTTGCAAAACATGGAATGTTTGTGGAAGGTCTAGATATTTTTCTGTATTTTAAAAGATTAATGATTTATATTACGATCGTGAAGGAAAACAATATGAGAATACCTAGTAATAGCTTGCATTTCTATGGCACTAGATAGTATTTCATAGTCCTTTTGCGTGCCTTTCTATTTTAAATTATGTTTCATAACAATTGTGTGTTTTTCTTTTCTTTTTCCCTGTTCCTGAAACATGTTTTTCTTTCTCATCAATTTGGTTCATCCATTTCAGAGTCATTAACAATTCACAGATGTGCTTTTGTAGTGGAGAAATGAAAAGGGAGCTCATTACACATTGTTTAGGTCATTTCCCCCCTCTAAATTTAATAATTCCATGACAGTTTGACAGCAGAAACTAGCTCCCATCTCGCCTCTGAGACAGCGGGTTTATCATTATGGGGCTCTTCAAGCCAGTCATCGAGCCACAAGTGATAATATCTTCATGCATCGGCAATTTGTTTGGCAAATGCTATTGTCTGTTACATGCAAACTTTTTTTTTAAGTTTTTTTTTTTTCTAAATTGATCTATTCCTTAATGTTTGTATTAGAACTACTTCTGCTTACAATCTGTGTTTTGTGGCTCCTCATGCTTGGTGAGATGCTAAGCTGTAAATACTTAGTTTATTCTGTGATGTTTGGATCTTTTGAGTGATTTCCTTTGACATAAGAATATCCAGTCTTTGTTGTTGTTTTCAGAAGAAATGGCTACTCCAAAAGAAATGACTTAGGAAGTAGATGAACTGTGTATTCATTGAATCCTCTATGTGGGGGTCTTCTATATTAGAAGTCTTTCTGATTATAAGAACGTTTAGATTTCTATAAATGTCTCAAATCTTATCAGTATGTGAACATTGCTATCTATGCTTTCATCATGCCACCATATGATCAATTCAGGCAAACAACACGTCTATTCACGTCACAGTTATAGGTCAATAATGTTTCTAAGTATGTGCCAAATTAAAATGAATGAATGCAGATTAGATGGATGTATTATTTTGGTACATTTTGACTGTTGTCTCTATTTATAAACCTTTTTAATTCTGCAATCTATTCTGTGGCATCACCGTGATTAACATACCTAAGTAGGTGTCTTTGCAGTTGCCTATAAGGATGTCCATCATGTGACCTAACCTCTCTGACATCATCTCCTATTCTTTTGCAATGACATTCTTTCTGTGCAGGATTCTATTTTTCTAGAATTCATAGTTACCTTATGGTTAAATATAATTTTAGGTGTCACTGTGAAATAATGTTCACAGTCCCCCCTTTTTTTTCCTTAGTTATACTCAATTATCTATTGGTTTAAAACTTCAAATATATACTGTCGTTTATATTTAACTTTTTTGTTTATTATTATATCTGTGAGAATAAGTGAAAAGACTATTCTTTGCAAGTTTTTTTGCTTATTGCTGAATCCATACAGCTTATAGAAATGACTAATTCAGAGGTCTTACAAGATCATGTTAAGTTAATGAATAATATATAACTCAACTCATCTCAAAGGCTTGCCATGGGATTGTCCTGAATCCCAGACTTGCTCACGTTATCTTTGGCTTTCCATAACTTACCGTCATATCATGAACTTCTCACAACCTTTTTAACAATATGAACTCTTCCTAATGGATGTGTGTGCATGAAGTCTGGTGCTGCATAGAAAGCTCTTTCTTTGCTTCCAGATTCAATTCATACATCACACCTGCTATGAAACAAGTCTTCTATTATCACTTCAGCTAAAAGTGACTTCGTTTTTCTTTCAACTCCAAAGATTGCATCAACAACTCACTGAGAGCACTTTACGCTTGCTACATTTTATTGTCATCTATGTGAACTTTCTACCTGTCTAACACGGTGCCCTATTTATAATTAGTATTCAAGAAATGTCTTTCAAATGAGGTAATTATTAAAAGTTGCAAGCTGGTTGGTTTTGCTGGTGGGTAGGGAAGTAAAATAAAAGTTATGCTAATATTCCTAAAATGACAAAATGAGTGTCAATTATCCACTGTATTTTTAACATCATATTTTAACATATATTTAGTTCCAAAGTCTCATTTCTAAGAGCTTTACCGTCAATGGAACTGCTCAAGAAGAAAAGATAAAAATAAAGAGACTGTGTTATTTGCTGATTCTCAGCATAGCTCAAATGTCTGTTGTTTACAATACTGCATTTCTAGAATTTAGGTACGAATAATCTTAGGATAAATGAGAAAATACTAAATCTAAAACTGTAGGGGCTGTTTCTATTATTCCTTCTATTTATCTCGGATTGTACCAAAGGCTGATACAAGCATGCAACTCATGGTGATTTTGTTTTGTTTGTTTTTGTTTGTTGTTACCATTTAAAGGAAAACTATAGGGAGAGGGACCACAGCATGATGTGTTTGAACTAGTGGTCTGAATCAAATGCCTTATTGTATTCCCAGTGCAATCATAATCAGATGATAGTAGTTTTAAAGGTAATTGTTGATAATAATCAATAATGTCTTTATTCCTTGGTGCTCTGAACCATTCACCCAAGGAACCTTTTGAAATTCCTATTAGAATGTGACATGCAAACAGTGATATTTTTCTTCAGCACAAAGAGAAGTGGTGATATGGAGAGGCTAAGTTTGTTGCTCCCATGACCTAACTGTGTCAGAGTCATGAGCTGGTGGGGTGTTCCTTTCACAGGTGGTAGCTGTCTGTGTTATCTGCTTTTGTAAATGGAGTCATGTCCATTTGTTTCCATATTGCCTGTGGCTACTTTCATGCGACAGAGTTGCTACAGGTGTTATGTGGACATAAGACATGAAATATTTACTATCTAAGCTTTCACAAAATACGTTGTCAACCTGGATCTGCAGCAGAGCCCACTCTCTATAAAGGAGGCAGGTGAAATTTGGTGAGGTTAGTTTTTTTTTTTTTATCAAACTTTGTCAGCTATATGTGATTTATTGAAATCATGCTTGACAAAGGTAGAACTACAGTACTTGCTATCTCCAGGGACTCTT